CCCCCCCCCCCCCCGATATCCATTTCCATTCCCTCGAAACAAGGGCACGACCCGACGCCTGAGATGCAGCATTTCGGTGTCTTTTTGCCCTTTGATCTCGAAATTAATGAAAAAAATAACGATGAAACGGTAATGAAAGCTGACACATCCGGCAGTTAAATCTCATGGGTGGGCGGGCTGCTTCCGAGGCGACGTTTAGGGAGAACGATTTGACAATCAGAGCATGAACCTCAGTGAAATGCTGGCGCGTACAATTATGTTACTAAATTATTGCCTTATCAAATAAAAAACAAGTGTTGCTATGATTTTACGGAGAACTGAAGAATAACTTGAACTTTAATAAATAAATTTATGTCTCTGGGTGACTGAATGATTTCTGAAAAATATTGAAAATTCTAGTACATGTTTCAGTGTCGAATAAAACACGCACCATAAATACTATAGTTTATAGATGTTTGCGGGTTTTTATGGGTGTGTTAGCGCAGGAAATGTGGAAATATGATAAATCAATTTTCCATTCGAATGAGGGAGAAACCTTTGAGTAGAGGATGAATGTTCTTCCTTTTTCAAAAATTAAAAATATGAATTCATTTGGACATTAGAAAAATTGGGCTAACAGAATTTATTTCTACAACATGAAAGGAAAGCACTGCATTTCGGGCAGAAAAAATAGTACTCCATATGCCATAATCTAAAAACACCTAAAGAGGATTTTCTACGAGAAAAAAAAAGAAAAAAAAGTTTCTACACTGATAGAATGATTCATTTATTCCAAACGAGATTCGTTAACTATTAACGAATGGTAGAGTTGAATATGACTAAATGAATATTCGTTAATAGTTAACGAATAGTTCACTTGAATGGCGAAAGTCAACTCAAACAAGGCTCTTCAAATATACATTCGTTAACTATTAACGAATGAACAATTGGTGGGACCGAATAGACCCTAGCCTCCAACCAAAATCCATTCGTTAACAATAACTAATCCGTTCTATCAGTGTAGTTTCCAAACCAAATTACTGATTTTAAGAAGCTCATTGTCCGGCTTTGAAAATAAGAAACCGGTTATTCAGTTAAAAAAAAATTCCCTGAAATACGAATAATCTACTTTCAGGGAAAAATGGAACTGAAATTTGCAGTTCTCTTCGATTTTTCACGAAATTCTGAATTTTCAATGACGAAATCCTTGAAATTTCAGTGGTAATCAAATTTGATAAAAATTTCCAAAAAGTGTACCGGAAATTTCAGACAAACAGTGTACATTCAACTAAAAATGATAGCTTTCGACTCAATCCTTTAGGAAAACTGTTCATAAAATAAATGAAAATTTTACTGATTTCCAACGAGAAATGATTAAAATGAAATTTTCCTCCGCCCCCCCTTGTTCCCTTGAACCTTTCTAAAAAAAAACTCAGTTCATAAACTCGACTAGAACGTAAACACATTCCCCCTCCGCGCGCCCAACCCCTATTTTCCCTCCAAAACGAGAAAAAAAAATTGAACAAAAAAAAAGTGTCGACTGTGGCAACAGGATATGAGTATTTTACGCTCGACGTTTTCTCGCATGAATAGAAAATAAAGAATCGAAGTCTTGCACAGGCAGTTAGCCATCGTCCCCATCGATGCCATTCTCAAATAAAAAATTGTCGACGATTGGACGAGGGGGTGGGGCAGGAGGAGGTGGAGACGACGCTGCGACTCATTCATGTAATCTTGCGACACACTCAGGCCTTCGTTACACGCTCGATTACATAAAAGCATCCACCGTGTCTCACACGTACACGTTGACTAACACATGTGCAATGGGACTCGGTCTCAGTCACCACCTCCCGATTAACAGAACACTCCGGCCTGGGTTTCATACACCTCAGCCGATGGCATTCCGTGTGTTGGCCGTCGTCGTCGTCATCGTCGTGCCTGGTGTGGCTGACTACTGGGTGCGAGGGGGCGCGCGGAAGTAGGACACCACTTTCCCTCAGTTGACTTTAACGTTCTCGCTTTGTTGGCTCATTGTTGCTCTTGCACTCTTTTTTTTCGAGGTAATTTAATGCCAGATGCTTGGGAGGATGCTTCTATACAGTTTTCTTGGGACACATTTTCCTTTTTTTGTGGGTGAAAGCGAGAGTTTTGGGGGTGCGGACAGATCGGGAGACAATGACGATGGCGAAGCTACTTATATATTTATTTCAGATTATTTGAATGTATTGTGTTCGAGCTTGTCCTTTATCGCAGGACATCCTCGCGACGATTCGTAATAATTCGGACACCCTCGATCGGATGATTAACTNTCAAACAAGGCTCTTCAAATATACATTCGTTAACTATTAACGAATGAACAATTGGTGGGACCGAATAGACCCTAGCCTCCAACCAAAATCCATTCGTTAACAATAACTAATCCGTTCTATCAGTGTAGTTTCCAAACCAAATTACTGATTTTAAGAAGCTCATTGTCCGGCTTTGAAAATAAGAAACCGGTTATTCAGTTAAAAAAAAATTCCCTGAAATACGAATAATCTACTTTCAGGGAAAAATGGAACTGAAATTTGCAGTTCTCTTCGATTTTTCACGAAATTCTGAATTTTCAATGACGAAATCCTTGAAATTTCAGTGGTAATCAAATTTGATAAAAATTTCCAAAAAGTGTACCGGAAATTTCAGACAAACAGTGTACATTCAACTAAAAATGATAGCTTTCGACTCAATCCTTTAGGAAAACTGTTCATAAAATAAATGAAAATTTTACTGATTTCCAACGAGAAATGATTAAAATGAAATTTTCCTCCGCCCCCCCTTGTTCCCTTGAACCTTTCTAAAAAAAAACTCAGTTCATAAACTCGACTAGAACGTAAACACATTCCCCCTCCGCGCGCCCAACCCCTATTTTCCCTCCAAAACGAGAAAAAAAAATTGAACAAAAAAAAAGTGTCGACTGTGGCAACAGGATATGAGTATTTTACGCTCGACGTTTTCTCGCATGAATAGAAAATAAAGAATCGAAGTCTTGCACAGGCAGTTAGCCATCGTCCCCATCGATGCCATTCTCAAATAAAAAATTGTCGACGATTGGACGAGGGGGTGGGGCAGGAGGAGGTGGAGACGACGCTGCGACTCATTCATGTAATCTTGCGACACACTCAGGCCTTCGTTACACGCTCGATTACATAAAAGCATCCACCGTGTCTCACACGTACACGTTGACTAACACATGTGCAATGGGACTCGGTCTCAGTCACCACCTCCCGATTAACAGAACACTCCGGCCTGGGTTTCATACACCTCAGCCGATGGCATTCCGTGTGTTGGCCGTCGTCGTCGTCATCGTCGTGCCTGGTGTGGCTGACTACTGGGTGCGAGGGGGCGCGCGGAAGTAGGACACCACTTTCCCTCAGTTGACTTTAACGTTCTCGCTTTGTTGGCTCATTGTTGCTCTTGCACTCTTTTTTTTCGAGGTAATTTAATGCCAGATGCTTGGGAGGATGCTTCTATACAGTTTTCTTGGGACACATTTTCCTTTTTTTGTGGGTG